TGTGAATTTGACACTTTACAAAACCATTAACGTATATTTACAACACAAACGCAACACTAACTAACCTTAAATATTTACAAAAGCCGCCAACCACTTCACCTCACTAATGTAAAAAATAAACGTTCTCACTTACAAAAGTATTCAACTCCTCCCATTGCTGTGCTTCACATAACAGCTCATAATCTTCTGACTCACTTTCTTCTTCATATAGGTCAAAGTCACTGTCAAATAAATGTTAGTAAGTTTTGACAAAGCTAATGAAACACGCTTACCGTTTGTATCGTATGCTTGTATAATCTTCCATTCTTTTGTTTCATAAACGCTCAAACTAACTTTACCCTTTCTCCCTCGTATCTGATAGAATGTATTTTCACGAGGAACGAAGAACAAATTCTTGAACTCATGACCGTTGTAGTTTGTTATCTCAATAGTTTTCGTCATTTATATAAAAAATAAAATAAAAAATAAACTTAAAAATTAATGATATCACCACCCTCACACGTATGAAAACATAGCACAAAAATAAATTTAGGTGAAGTGGTGAGATCTCACCTCTTTTTTCACTCTTTTTTCACCCTGTTGAATTCATTGCTTTATAACTCTCTTCCTTTCTCCAACTCTTCTAACTTCTTCTTAAGTTCAGCAATGTTGTCATCATGAAGTTTAATCTTTCTCAAAATTCCTTCTTTATCTAATGGTTGCTTTATCTTTCTAAACTGAACTCTACCATCCTTCATAGTATGAATGTAAAAACCTTCTGGAATAGTTCCTGATTTAATGTATTCTACCAAAAACTTTTGTTTCATTGCTTCAGTGACTTTATTTGTCATTTCAATCAAATAAAAATTTTAATATTAAATAAAAATAACGTTATTTTTTCAGTAAGGAAACGCAGGAGTTTTACGATTTATTTGAGGAGTAGGTTCTGGTTTAAATGTTGGAGTCGGTTTAGGAGTTGACTTTTGAACAGGAGTTTGTACTTCCATAGGTTCAGGAGTCATTGAAGGTTTTGCTTGTGAAGGCGTTGGTTTTGGCGAAGGTGTTGGAGTTTGTTTAACTTCAGCTACTTCAGTATTATTTACAACATTTGCTTTATTTCTTTTCAACATCATAACTGCTCCTGCTGTACTAGCAAACCTAGTGGAGAGACCATATTTTATATAAGGACTTGACCAAATGCTATTTTTGACAGGAGCTGGTGGAACACCTAACCTTGGTGAGACTGCTCTTTGCCATTGTGCAGCTCGTAAGAAATATTCAATAGGTGCTCCATAATCGTTTGGTAAAGTTTGTTTCATAGATGGTGAAGGTTCACGAGAGCTTGATGAAGAACTCATTTATAAGCTTTAAAAATAAACGTTCATCCTTTATTCCTCACCGTCGTCCGTAGCTAAGTTATAGTCATCTAATCTTATTATTGGGATGCCATTAGCACGCACCTGAATGGCAAAGCAACAATCCCTCATAAATCCAATAAGTGGCTTTGGTACATTTTCAGTTGCTAGTTCAATAGGTCCTTTAACAGACAATTTGTATGTTATTGGAGCAGTAGATGTTTGACCTTGCTGGAAGCAAAAGTCCACTTCTGTTGGAAAACCACATAAGAAATGTGTGTTGTCATAGCTATCCCATTTATGTTCCACACTACCATCATCCACCAATGACCTCATAACATCTTCATTAAATCCTATCATATCATTGTTTGTATTGCAGGCGTTCGCAACCATTTCATAAAATACAGGTCCATATGATTTTTCAGGTTCTGCAGGCATATTTCCATAAGCTCCCATGGAAAGCTGAAGATATTTAAACTTAGGGTTCTCAAAATTAACATAATAGTTGTCTTTCTTTCTAAATAGTGCCCAAATACTTTTAACATTAATAGGCGTATAAGCTGCTGTAAATGTTGCACTTGAACTATCTGTATTCTTTGAGAATGAACCGTCCATAGGAATCCAATCCATAACTTTAACAGGAAAACATAAAGCCTCGTTTGTATAATGTTCTACAAGTTCTGTATAAATGTTAGGGTCTAAAGAGAATGACTTTGGATGAATGAAACATTCATTAAAATCCATCTTTGTTCGAAATAGTTGCTGGGTTACAGTTGTAATAGTAACTGTTCCACTAGCTTCTACTGCCTTCGTTATCATAGTGAATGGTTCATTCCATGGAACAAATTTATTTGTCGGTGGATTTGAATCTGAAGCAAATGCAACTTTAAGAGTTGGATTGAAAGCAATGATATCATTTACAGATATAGATGTGCATTGTAAGGCGTCGCTACTGAACTTTACTTTAAGCTGAATGTTTCCTGCAAAAGCTGGAATAAATCGAATAGGAATCTTCTAACAGGAATTCTTAAACGAAGCTTAAAATCAAATGATTTTCCTGCTGTAATTGGACCACTAACAATTTGTCCTGTTCTGCATGTTCCCGAATGACTCCATACATCTTCATGTCGAGTCTTTGAGAAAACATCTACTTTCTTTATTTGTTCGGTAGTTTGTGAGTTTGAAGTTATATATGCTTCTTCTCTTGCGTTGTCTTGAGAATATACGATACGACCATTTGCAAGGATTTGATATCCAGCAACTGCATAGAAAGCGTCATCGAAACCAATCCAAAATCCTGGTGGGTTTGTTTTATTGGAACCTGAACCAATTTCTTTATCTACAATAAATTGACCTTCCATTTTATACGTAATGAATGTATTGTAAAGGTCCAACATATTTTCACCAGGAGGTGAGAGATTGAATGTTACCCATGTGTTATCTTTAGCAGTTCCAGGTTGTGATGGAATCTTTGCGTCAGAATATTTTCTATTAGTGTCACCAATTTGAACTGCATTGTCTATGATATCGAAATATGAGCGAATCTGATGAATATGCTCTGCTGGAGTAAATTCGTTTAGCTGTTCGTTCTGCATGTATTTACTTCAGATAAAAATATCTATTTACTTCATTATTCTCACTCTTCTTCTTGGCATTCGTGGTGGAAGTTGTTTCTTGACATTTTCAATGAACTGTACATTCTCTTTTGTCTCAACTTCTTTCACTGGCGGGTCAGGATTCTTTGACTCGGTTTGTTTTTCAATGAAATTCACGAACTTTGCAATAAGCTCTTGGTTCGTTATTGAAAGTACATCTGGCTTTTTTTCTTCTGGTTCTATTGACTTTTCAGTTTGAACAGAAGGTTTTATATGGGCTTCGTGGACTTCACCCTTACCATACACCTTAATGTTGTCGCTTTCTGCATTCGCTAATGGAACCTTTCTTTTTCTTACGTATATTTTACCATCTTTACTCTGACTTACGTAATAGAAAGGATGTTGTATTCCTCTTGCGTCATTTAATATAATAGACTCTCGCTCTGATTTTGACAAGCTCATTTTACATCGGTTAAAGTTTTAATTTTGTTTTTTATCTGCAGTCAAATGACTCAGACAAGCCCTACGGACAAGACCCAGGGGGTCATAGATGTTGAAGCATTGAAGAAAGAAATTCGTGAGCAAATTTTATCCGAACTGAAGGAACAAAAACAAGAACAAAAGCCAGAGAGACCAAAGAGAAAACTTAGTGAAAAACAACTTGCTGCATTAGCTGCTGGAAGACAAAACCCACGTTTGCTGGCGAAGAAAGCTAGAGAAGAAGCTGAAGCAAAAGCTAAAGAAGCTGAAGCAAAGAAAGAGTAAATGATTTATTTTTATCCGAATTAAATGTATAGACAAATACCTTTATCTGTTGCGTTCAGTAGTGAAAACCCTGACGTCAAAATAAAGGGGAACAGAGTAACGTTTAAGTTTCCAACAGACTGGATTGTGAACATAAATGAAGAGAAGTACATTGGCATAACAAATATGTATATAACACGTGCTTTCAGAAAGGTTGACTTTATACTTCAAGTCGAGATAGAAAATGACGAACAGTCTTTAAGCGCCCAAAACATTCACATATACAAATACTTCAATGACAGTACGACGTTAGAAGACTGTATAATTACATTTTACGAAAATTTTCAAAAGAAGTTTAACATTGAAGTACAAACTTTACAGCCTTTACGTGATTTTCTTGCAGAACTGAAAGAAGAAGGAATTGTAGAAAGATTAATAGCTTTTCATTACGAGTTTGTAGCAAATGCTGATGGAACTCATGACTGTCAATTCATTGTATTCTCACCATTCAATGAAGTAGCTAAAAAGAAAAAAAATCCATTACGTATAAGATTTCAAATCTCTGAACCAAGTGATGATTTCAAGAATGTTTTCAATTATGATGCAATGCTTCCGAGGAAAAATGAATTTTCAGAAATTAGATTTCCAGGTATTGGGGATAGAAAGCAAGCTATATTATATTCAAACTTAAGTAAGGGAGTTGAAAATGAGTTCATTGGTCATACAAGAACTTCACCACTTCCTAACCCTAAATACTATAAATTAACTGGCTTCAATCGTGAGTTTTGGATAGACATGTTCTCCACTCATGACCATAACTGCCCAGTGTTCTTACCTCCAGACCATAAGGACTGTCTCTACATTGAAGCACAACTCTTAAACTCTACCATCGCAGTATTGTAAATGACCACATGGGCTTCGCCCTTGCCGCTAGTTTTATTTTTATCACGAATGACCTCATTGCTGACAAAAATAAATGACCTCAGAACTTCAACTTACGAATAAAGCTTGTTTTAGTCGTTATTGAGAAGTTAAACTTCTCTTCAAAGCAAGGTTGACATGACTTACATAAGTCAAATCCAATCTCTTGACCGTCATAAAGTGCTTTGTAAAGTTTCATTAAACTGAACTCAGAATCTTTGTCATATGTTCCTTGCGGGAACCATTACCTTTATCTTCATCATAGAAACACTGAACAGAGTCAGGAAACATTTCATTAGCGGTTAAAGCAATAACATCTTGCTTCACGCCTTTCATTCTGCAGTGAAATGCAACTTCATTTAAATCATTCGTGAGTAAGTCTATGTAAGTCTTCTTTCCACAAAATATTGACTTGTATTCTAAACTTTGTTTATCTTTTGTGATTTCTGCAAAGTCGCTATGAAATTGACCAAGGTTTTACCAATGAGAACTCTTCCATAACGTTTCTCAAACTCTTCAGCTAAACGAGGGATATCTTCATTGTAGAGATGCATACTGTCCGTATCGCTATAAAAGATGTCCATTCCTAAGTCCTCAGCAGTACAGAATACTTCACACATTATTCTCTTCGACATAGACAGAATGTTAACACCAAGTGGACAGAAGTTAAAGTGTCTGCAAATGCTTTTCGTTAGCTTGAAAATAGTTTTATCTGAACCATCCAAACCTTCAAACTTCACTATATGGTTGTAGTTTCTGATGGCATATCTTATAGCATCTTTGTCATTTACTATGGTTATTTTTGACTCAATAGGAGATAGAATAGTTTTGCCATAAATACTGTTCAGAATGAGCTTTATATTTTCTTGCAAAGGATTTCCTTCTTTCTTATACTTTAACCTTAACTCAAACAACTTCTTTACTTCATCTCTTATTCTAATATCTCTGTTTCCATCGTAATAGTATCCTTGCAACACTTCACATTTGACACCTTGATATTTTATGAGGTCTTGTAATGTTATATGGTCAACATACATTAAACAGCAAGTGTTTGAACTTCTGGGAACGTTAAGTTCTGGATTTAGTTCAGGGTCACAAACTATTAAAGGAAAGTGTCTATGTATTCCAATCTCTGTTATCTTAATGAGAACAAAGAAGCCAGACATAAACTTTTCACCAATGGGTTCCTTTTGGTCGTCATTGAATAAATGTCTCATGAGATACTCTGTGCTTAACATTTCTTTCTTCATAACCTTTGGAATACCTTCTAAAGTATAGAGTCTTGCAATTGCTGAAGGGTATAATGAAACAGCGTCGAAGTCAGCAATGAGTTTCTTTTCACTCTTTTGTTTCATGTTATCTGACAGCATACATCTTCCACCTTGAATACAGCGTGAAATAAATTCTCTTGGTTTATTTGAGATGTCATATAAATTTCCATTCGGGAAGTACACTCTGTTCTCAAATAATTTGTTAGCAATTGAACAAATACTAACATAGTCATAAACGTTTAAATCAAATTCTTTCAATATGTCATTGCGGAACTTAACAAAACCTTCTCTTAAAATTCTTACATCTTGTTTGCAATAGAATGTGCTATATTTTTCTAAGTCGAAGTGGTTTTCATCTATTCTGCAACCTTTGATGGAATCTATGTTTTTCATGAATGTATCTGCATCCCGGATAAACTTACATGCTTCAGAAATGACACCAGTTCTGTTGTCATTTGCTAACAAAACACTGCTGTAGTAGTTATATGGAAATACTTCTTTCGGTCCTGTTTGTAAGTTAAACATAGCAGGAAATAGTTTAAGCTTCTTATTTATAACACTGTAAGAGTCTTTTATAATAATTGCCCTTCCTTTATATAAGCCAGTTATTTGCATTGTTCGTGAACCTTTAATGATGGGAGTTCCTTTCACTTCTGTCATGTGTCTTAAGATGAAGTTTATATCATAACTGAGGTTATGGAAATATATTAAACTCTTGTCAGGAAGTCGTTCCAAAAATTCTGTTGCACAGTTCTGACCCCAAATGCTTTCACTCACTGAACCATCTTCACTGTCGTAACAGATGTTAAAAGCTTTATGAAAGCCGTCTGTGCTACACTCACAGTCAGCAAAGAAAACGTGCTCAGGAATGAACTTGCACTTATTTTTATTTACTTCTTTTGACTCAGCTTTCTTCTTCAGTTGTACACAATACTTTGGAGCATATGACAAGTCTTTAAATGGTGCAAGGTTCTGTTTATATAAGTCAGTCGTATATGTGAAAAGTTCTCCATAAGAAATAGGTTCGAAATATTTGCACTCCCACAATGTTTTCATAACATCCCATAACGGTGTTGTTCTATCATAACGAACTACATATTTATCTTCTCTCTTTGTATAAATCTTCATCTGTTTCTCAATGTTCATTCCACCACAAGCTTTGAGAATTTCGATATAGTTGCGAATGAAATATGTTGTCATTGGTAATCTTTCATTTAGCATGTAGTGGTCTTCAACAAGAAGTAAGTCAATAATTCGAACAGTTTCACATTCTTTTGGTATGTATCTCTTTATTTCATTATGTCTTGAGTCATTGAAGTAACCAATGGTAACATTAAATGCTATACCTGTTGCGTCAGAAATTTCTTGTACTTTACTTTGAGGAAAGTCTCTAACACGAATGACTCTCTCTCTCATGTGGTCAATAGTCTCTCCATCTACTCCAGCCTGAATGCAAGCATAAACGAAACAATTGTCTTCTGTCATAAGTGCTGCAGTTCTTTTGTTCAATTCATTGAAAGTTTGGTAGCGTTCAAGATTTATAGGTAATGTGCAAAGATACTTCCAGAACTGACCGCTTCTCTTCTTATAAAACTTCTTTTCACCATTATCTTTCCAAAAGCTTTCTATAAGTGCTGGGTTTCCTGTTTGCTTAAGAGCTTCCAAAATGGCTTTCTGGTCATTTGTCAGTGTGCTTTCATCTCTATATGGTCTCTTTTTTGGTTTGCCTTTCTTTACATCTGACATCGTTAAGCCTTCATATTCTGTTAAATCATACATCTTTATTTCGGTAAGATTCTTTATGTTTGTCAAGAAGAAGTCATAGTGCATTTCAACAATACCTGCAGCATTTGCTTCTATCTCTGATATAAAGTTCTCCTTCAAGAGCTGATGTAGTAATGTTCCAATATTATTGAGGTTTAACGTAGAACATTCATACTTTCCACCAAGTTTATAACATACCATCCATCTTTGTTGGGAGTTTATTTTAATCTTCTCTAAGAGTCTCATGAAAACCTTACCGAAATGTTTGTGTAAGTAGTCTCTGTTTGGTTCATCTAAAGCTTCGATGTTAAAGTCAATGAGTCTATTGCCTGACTTCACATTTCTCTTCCTATTCTCTTCATCTTTCTTTAACCATCTCTCACCTTCTTTTGGTTTGTCGTCAATGGAACGAATGACATCGTTAGCTTTGCGAACTTGTTCTATAGCGCTCTTAAACATCTCTCTTCTCTGTTGTTTCAGTGTGTCGTCTCTTCTTCTTGTTTCACCAATGTTTGCATTTGTTATGTCAAACATTTCTCTTCTAACTTCATGAGGTACTGAACGTCTATGATATAAGTCAATAGCAACGTCATTTAAAGGAAATGCTCTTGCATGGACTTCATCCTCGCCGCGTTGCGGCTTTATGAACTCATGAATTCTATCATAACTTATTGCACCATTATAGTCTTTAATGAAGTCAGCGAGTGCTTTTTTGTTTGTTGCGTAATGTTTTGCTACTTCTATGTTAGCTTCTGTAAGAAGTTGTTTTATTTCCGAGTGTTCTAACTTAGACAACTTCCGATACATCTTTAGTAGGAAATAAAAAAATATTTTTTGAAAAAATTAGATTAGATTTTTTAAAGTTATTTTTCAAAATAATTTAATATTTTTATTTTAATGAAACACATGCAAGATTGCAAGTTCTTTTCATACAATGCTCTCGCTACTGCCATCAAGAATGAGTTCAATAATGCTTCAAATGTTAATGTTATCTTTAACAAGAAGTTTGTGAAAGAATCTAAGTTTGGTCAGTATGTCAGACCATTAGCTATCGTCATTGACCGCAAACGTTATACTTCACAAGAGTTAGCAGTAGTTTTGAAACAAAAGAGTTTCTTCGTGAATGTCAAAGATACTCATTATACTGTCATAAAGAACTCTAACATTGACTTCTTCAGTATTGCTTTAAATCTTTCCGAACAGAAAGAATATAAGAAGGGTGAAACAAATGTGAAATATTATTCTTCATCTCTGAAGACAATAACGAACAAAGATGTTATACAGAAATTCTTACCAAAGGTTGAAGAAGCTTCTATTGACATTGACGAAGGAAGTGAAATGGTTGAAGAAATAGACCCTGAAGCTATTTAAGCAAAAATATATTTTTGGTTAGTCTTCATATGGATATTTTACAACAATTCCCCAATGTATAAACTTTTCATACGCTTTTTCATAAGCTTTATATACCTTCAGAAATTTTGCATAATCTTTAGAAGCATTTAGATATTGTTTAAATGCTTTGTATGTCTTCAGAAATTTTGCATGATCTTTTACATGTTGTTCGTTCTCTTCTTCTGTCATGAGTTCCGAATATTCTAAATTCATGTTCTTTCATATGAGATAAAATTTTATAAAAAAAATAAAATTAGCTTAGATTTTTTTTATTCTTCCTCTTTGAAGTTATCGAAATATTCTGTTATTTTTTCCTTCAGTAATGTTAAGTCTTCTTTGAATGTAAGTATTGTGCAACCTTTGATGTCATAGTGTGTTTGAGGAAGAGTATTTTTGACAATTTCCTTTATTTGCTCATTCGGTGTCATTGAAATCGGTAAGTTTTCACGATAGAACCAGTTTCTGTCAGATTTATATATTTTAGCTAAGTCATAAAAGCTCTTGTTGTTTCTTCTGACTAAATGCAACATAACCACATCTTTATCTTCTTCTTTCTCCAACTCTTCAGTATATATCATATACTTATAACTCTTTTCCTTTCCTTTTGGTACCGAACGCGGTATTCTTTTCTGTATGCTTTTGTCTTTGGATTCAATGACTTCATCTTTTGCATGAAGTTTCTTTTCCATCTCTCCACGTTCTGCTTTATATAGTTCATCTAACATCATGAAAATATAACAAGCATAACGAGGTGAAGCCCACATTGCTACAGCGTTTACTAAAAGTCTATGAACATAATAACCTTTCAAACCAGGAGCCAAATTCTTGCGATTTTCGTACGGAATCTCTTCTCTCGGTTTTCCGAGGGAAGCAATCATATGAGGAAATTCTTCTAAAAGTTCTTTTGTCTGTTGGTTTTCAAACCAATGATATGCTTGCTTTGTAGAACGAAGAGCATTCATTATACTTTGCATTTGGTACATGTCATCTTTGACTGAACGAATGAGACGTAACTGTTTGTTATACTGTATGTACTCGTATTCTTCATTTATGGCTTCATGGACTATAACTGTTGTTGTGTTCTCTAATGTTGTCATTACTGTCTTTACATACAAAATAAAAAAATAAATAAAAATAAAACTAACTTTATTTTCTGACTTTCACAAAAGACCAAAAATAAACGCTTTACATGTATTTTTCAGCAACTTCGTCAAATAATTTTATAGCTTTATCTATCTCATCTACTTCAAACGTTTCTTTACCTTTCGTGGGAGCACCATACATTTTCTCAAAAACTTCAAGCAGTTCTGTTTCAGCAGCTCTCATATCATTAACAAACACAACCTTGACTCTATTGACTGTACTGTCATATCTTTGAGTTATATTATATGTCCTTCCTATCTTATATCTTTTTGTGTTGAAGTCCTTCGGTTTCTGAACGATGTAAAGTAAGCCTTCACTGCAACGTTCCGTATCGAATGAACCATATGTTATGAAGTTATATCCAACAACTGGGTCTAACCATAACAAAACTATTGGTATAAGACTTTTGTCTATAAGATATGCTCTTGTTCCATGAAATGCTACTGATATCATAAGCTCAGGATTTCTTGTCAAAATTTTCTGAGTTGAAGCATTTCTAACCCAGTCGTTTGTTTTCTTTCCAGATGGAGATATAATGTCTGACAAAGAATATTTATTGTATTTCTTTGAGTATCTTACGTTTAAATCACCTATTCTAACCACTTTGGTGTCATTGTCTATCTTTCTAACTGTTTCAAACTCAATGTTTGACATTACTGTCTTTACATACAAAATAACTAATGAAATTCATTATTTTTGTGCTGAATTCAATAAAAATAATGTTGAGGTGAAGAGGTGAGATCTCACCTGTTTTTTCACCTCTTTTTTCACAAGCGTTTTACATGAAATATACGATGTATATTTGAAATCCTAAACAATTTCGTAGCTTCTATTTCTTCTTTTAGTACATCAAAAGTTTTAACAATGCCGAAGGTTTCTTTATATTTCTTCTTGACGTCAGACAGAAGGAAATCCTCTGCTGTTGGATAGTTTTTATTAAGAAATGTCAACATATCCATTTTATTTTCTGCTGGCTTTTCTGCTTCTTTCTTTAAGTCTGCATAGTCGTTTCGCATTCTTTCTATCTCTTTGACTGAGTAGTTATATTTTCTTATTGCTGCTTTACATTTTGAACATTGCGGCATCGTTTTTGCGTTATACATTGAAATAAAACCAGCTAGAACAACTAAGGCGTCAATGGTTTTCTTTAACTCAAAAGCTGCTGGTTTTATCTGTTCATGCCATACTTTACCTCTTCTATCTTTATCTCTTATCTGCCATACACATTTTGCAACTAATGAAACAAAGTTATCGATGTTTGATGAAAGAGGCGGGGGTATGTTGGATAAGTGGGAATTTCAACAGGTTCTTTACCGGGTTCAGATAAAATGATTGGGTCTCCATTCTCATGGTTTTCTTCATTCTCCTCATTCTTCGGTAAGTCACGAGTTAATAAATTTGGTTGAGTTGCTGACCTTGTTAATTCGGGGCTAACATTAACTTTAACATTTTGAATAATTCGTGATTTATCATCATTTACGTTATAACCAACCGTAATCTCTGCTTTTGCGTTAGTGTTCTTTTGACTAGTGAAACGTCTTCTCATTTATATTCGAATAAAAAAATATATTTAAACTTTTATTTTGCTGGAACTTTTGAATCTATTATTCCCTGTATTTGTTCATGAAGTTGATTTTAGCTGTTTCATCGTAATTAATAGACCGAATATATTCATTAATTGCATTCTTATAATCATCTGATTTCTCAAATTTTCTTTTATCTGATTCCTTAACTAAATCATAAGTTAAACCTCGTTGCTGATATAATGGTTTCTTAATTAAATCTTTGAATGCTTGAGATAAAGCACCTGATGCAATTCTTGCTACTATAATTGGTTGGAATTGATGTTTAAGTTCATATTTAACATTTGCGAAAACTGGATCGAATAAAGCAACTTTAAAGAATTTCTTAGCTGAAATTTCAGGTCTAATATTTGCATATTGACCATCAAACTGGTTAGAATATCGTGGTAATCCATCCGGTCCCTCTTCAATAGCATTTAATTCTTCATTGAAATAAGAATATGGATTATAACGGTATGAATTAATTGGACCATGTTCACCTTCTCCAATGTATTGTTTAACAGCTTTTCCATTTTCATCAAATTGTATAGGATAACGTTCATTATATGCTTTACGTTTAGGATAATCAGATACAGTTAATTTATAACCATTTATGACTTTAATATTACCTTGACCATCAGTAACGAAAACTTCATTTATACCATCAGGTTTTCCATTTGACCCGTAATGTCTGCTTCGTGTGCTTCCCAATTTGGACCATGACGTTTGGCATATGCTTGAGCTTCTGGTAATGTTAAAACGTTTCTCATTTGTTTAACATCTTTTTGAAGACCAGCAACAATATGAACTAATTCTTTCATTCCATCAGGAACTTTCATAGTTCTATTATATGCACCCCTTTTGTTTGTTCCTTGTTTTAATGGAACCTGTAGAAGATTTGCTATTTCTGTCATGTTTAATTATAAATAAAAAATAAAAATTAATTATAAAAAGTTAATCAAATTTAACACCTCCTTTATTTAAATCAACTATTATTTTTCCATGTTCACCTAATTGCTGATATTGTGTGTAAAGTTCATTAATACTCATTGGTAAATTCACTTGATAAAGTATAACGTTCAACTGTTGACGACTAAACCCACTGAAAATGAAAAGGGTTGATAGATTTGATTTAATGTTTGTGCTTAATGCTTTGAAGTATTGAACAGCCATGAAGAATGAACACTGAATGTGTCGACATTGAGTTAATAATTGATTAAAATATGATTTCTCATTTGTTATTAGTTTTGATTTCACCGCATCATCTAGAAAAATGAGTGAATGCAAAAATTCTCTATCAAAATTTGAAATAGAAAGTGTTTCAAATAATTCATCCCGTTGTTTATCAATAATTTTATCCTCTAATCCTTGCTTCTTGATTGTATTATATAATTCTTTATACATTAAAAAGTTTTTTAAATAATCTTCTGCTTCTTCTTGTGATAAATAAATAATTGGAATTGTGATTAAATGCTTTAAAGATTCAAATGTATCATCTGAAGGTGAACCTGAACGGTTGATATAAATTAACACATGTGAATAGGGGGAAGTGTTAGCAATAATGATAATTTGTTTTAATATTGTTAATGTTTTACCTTTATTCTGTTTACCAATTGCTGCAGTGATTGAATTTAAGTAACATTCAGAATATGGAATTTTCATTAATTTTTCCTTAGATAGAGCATTTCTATTATCACTCAATGCTTCATTAATCATATCATCTACGTATGTATTATATACTCCCGCTAATTCTTCATAAGGGGTGGATGAATTTAAATCCATTTAATCAAAAATAAATTTATAATTTTAAACATTTCTATTCATCAATATTTCATCATATGAACTTCTATACTGTGGTGGTGTACCTGTTGGATGATATTTCAAACCTTCGTCCGGTGTCCATGTCCAATATGTAGTCCTAGTAAACCAAACCTGAGGAGGATTTGTCACCTTTGAACAGTAAGTGTCATTTTCACCCTGAATGATTGGATATGCTTTCACTTGTACTGTAACTTGTGAGTTGAAAGTTTCTAATCCATCAAAGAATATACCCGCTCCATCACGTTGAACTGGAATAGTGCATAAGAATGAAGTTTGGTCTTTCCATGTTCTAGCTAATGGCGTGCCATCATCATCATTCAGTGGTCTAGTTAATGAGTCCTCATATTCTTCTGTGCATTCATTCACTCCATCTAAATCAGAAGCTTGAAGCATACGTGTAAAGAATATGTCACCCACTGTGGTCATCGCTTGATCGGGGAAGTTTCTGGAATCTATAGTGACCTGAAGACCTCGAAGCATTGGATTTTCTAAAACTGTTCTTTGCATTGCATTCTTCGGAAATGTTAACACAACATCTGTAACATTATGAAGAGCGTATGAGAAATCTGAGCTAATACCTTCAGGAGTGATGCAACCTCCATTTAGTGAACGAACGTCAATATGTTGAGCTGGAATCATGAATGGATCTTCCTTACTGAATAAACGTGGTATTGCTTTAACTGATTCTTCAATTAAACCGTATCCTGGTGTAATGCATTTATCCTCTAAAACTTCCATCTTTGTGCATGAAATAATAACGTCTTCAACTGTTGCCTCAGCAGATGTAGCGGCTAAGCTTGTAATTAATTTGGCAGGAAGTCCGATTTGTTGGAATTTGCGATCATATTTATAAAACATGATTCATAATCTTTTCATAATTTTCATCAGTTATCTTTTCATAAACGTAATTTTGTAAATCAGCAACTCTTAACGGGTCAACCTGACAAAATACTAAAGTATCCCTGAAAACATAATATTTAAGAATGATATCACCAAACGATTTAGGATAATCATCGAACGCCTGAAATGCTAACAAATCATTTACCGGAATAATCATATCAAAAGTGATATTAACTTCTTCATTTGCTTTCTTGAAAACTTCTGAAGGGTCAATATATTTACCACATACTGAGTTATCATATTTTTGAACATTATTATATAACGAATGAACAAACTTTTTAACTTTCCTTTCTGATTTTGGTTTATATGTTGCAAATGCGAAAGATTCACGGGCGCAATCCATCTGAAGATAACCAGCATCCCTCTTTCGGTTTCTACTTAATTGTTTAAAGCTTTGATTTGATGATTTGTAACCAACGAATAAACGCATGCATTTAAAAGCGGCATCACATGTGAAAGCTTTATTTGAAACTAGAGTTGCTTTAACTTTGCGTTTAATATATGTGTCACCTAATTGGTTCACATCATGAGCCGGATTTGTAATTCTTAAATGAGTTTGTTTATCATCAAAATATGGAGCATCAGAGTCATAGCATGAACTTTCAAGTTCTCTATAATATCTTCTACCGTCATTCTTTGCGAATATTTCATTTATCTTTTCGAATGAATGAAACACATTTCCATTAATCGGTTTAGTGTTTGGCACCAAATAGTTAGTCGTCATTTATTATTAAATAAAAAATCAAAATTAAAAGATGAAAATGAATTTTTAATTTTAATGAAATAATCAACTATGGCTGCAGGTATATTTAAGAACTGTGGGATAAAGTAAAAAGAGGAGCGCATAAAGTTTGGGAAACATTGAAGAAGGGGGCAAATTGGATATTTAAGAATAAAGAAGCATTAGTGACGTTGCTGAATCAATAACACCAAAAGCTGCCCAATAAGAGAAATTTTAAATAAAGGAGAAAAAGTTTATCAAAGACTACAACCGATACTAAGATAAAATAATATTTATTTATTTTCCACTATCCACCTCCTATTTTATTAAGTATTCCTTCAGCAATTCCACCAATTGCGTTACCTGCTTGTGCTCCCATCGCTGGATTACCTGCTTTAGTACCTAATACTCCACCTATGATAGTTCCTGCCGTTTCGCTACTGGTGCCAAAAAGTTTGCAATGGGTTTAATAATCTTTTTATGAACCCAACCCGCAGCTTTCTTAATTCCATCCCATAATTTTTTAAAGAATCCTGCCGCCATTTCTGATTTAATATTAATTAAAAAAATATATTTCATCACTTATATTCTAATTTTATTTAATGATAAATGAAACCGATTTTAAAAATAAATGAAACAGAGGAGGAAGAAATAAATGAAAGTGAAAATGTTCAACAAAAAATAAACGTTGTTAAACCAATTACTGAAATAAAAATTTTTTCATCTGTTGAAGAATTTAATGACTATTATGCTAATAATAAAAAATTATTTGAAGAATTGACAACGTGTAAATTGAATAAAATGTTTAAAGTTGATGGATTCAAAATTTCAAAATAAAAGGGTGGTTGGTTTGAAATCTATTCCCCAATCAAGAATCACCTCATTAATGAAAATAGATGATTTAACAAAAAGAATAGAAGAGATTGAAGAAAGAATGAATCAAATAATTGATTTCATAAATTCAAATAATCATTAGTTTCTTAAAGTTCAATGTTGATTCTGAGACATGAATTTTTAAAGTTTATTTTTTTATTTTTTATTTCATTATGGTAGTGAATCTTTTATTCATGAAAATAATTATTTCTAATTTCTTTTACTCGTTTATGAGGTCTTTGATTATGACTCCATTGATTCCATTCAGGATTTAAACAATGTTTAATTAATCGCGGAATATCTGACATCATCTATATATAGCTTCTTTTATAAAAGATAAAATAAATTATTTTAAAATTAATGTTAATTTTTTAATGCGTTTAGTATATAATATTTATTACTAATTTATTTAATAATGTCGCACTTTCTTACGAATTCATGACTTAAAAAACGTAAGAAAAAATTTTTATATCATCTATATATAGAAGATGTGAAAATATACCTTCATCTATATATAGACGTAACAAAAAAGTCACACACCCCTTCCTATCCTACTACTTTTATCCTTCGCTTTTAAGATCATTGAATTTGATTTTTATATAAAATAGTTATATATTAGAAAATAATATGAGTTTATGTGATATTATTTTTCAGAAGATTTTGTGTTCTTCTTCAAAATTTTATTTTTTATTAAAAAGAATCTTTACAAAATATACATTTACTTTAATTAATATTTAAAAACGTGCTCTATCAAAAGTTCCAAAAATTCAATATTTTAGCTTTTCTGAGGTGTCACTTTTGATGAATTTCTGTTTACAACATTTTAAAAGTGACTATGTATTTTTTATATATATCTAAAGCAATGCTTTTGTGCCGCTTTTGATATCAATGAAATTGTTCAAATTTGTCACTTTTTTCCAAAAATGAGTAAAACTATTGCAGAACAACGCCAGCTTTTGGCTGAACTAACAGAACATCGTAATGCCCTGCGTGGAATATGTGAAAGCCAGAATTCCAAAATATTAAATTCTAAAAAACAAGAGCAAGTTTTGCAAAAAATGATTCCAACTCTTCAAGAGAAAAGGAAAGAATTGGATCAAATTTTGCAAAAGGCTAAGAAAGAGGAACATGATGCTAACGCAAGACAAAGCCAACAATATGAAAAAATCGAAATGTCTGCACTTGAAGAAATTCAAAATACAAAAGAGTCAATAAAAGCACTAGAAATGCGATGCAAACTAATAGAAAATCGTAAAAAAGTGTTAACAGAAGCTTTCAGGAAAAAAGATGAACAACTCGATATAGAAATTGCAGAATACAAGATGAAAATCAAACTCGTTGAAGCTAAAAGTCATGAAATAAATGAAAGACGTAATCAATTAGACGAAATATTCAAAATTAAAAGAAGCCAAAGTAAAAAACTTCGAACAATAGATCAAATTAGATCATTAGAAAACGACATTGCTAATACTCAACGCGAACTGGAACAAAAGGAGAAGGAAGTTCAAGAACTCGCACTAGAATGCAAACAATTACAAAAAGAACGTGATAATCTTCGTAAGAAGACACAAGACCAAAAGCATTAATGTGTTTACTTAATTTCTGAGCTCAGAACTGGTTTATTTTCCAGTTTATTTACATTTGGTGTAATCCATAAGTTTTTCATTCTAATATTTGGGATTTATTAGATAAATATGTTTTTATGTGCATTTACAACCGATAATTCATAATATCTGCAAAGTTTTTTAAAAATATCGATCTAAAAATGCAATATACTCGATTTGATTAGAACGCATTGTTTGGTTTTGTTTGTCAATAATATACGTATTCATAATTTACCAGGAAAACATTTTATTGTTACAAAATCAAATTAATATCTAATTTCTTCAAAAGATTGCTTTTTCTTGTCATAGAAATTTTCATTTATGACTTTAAAAATTGGAGTTTTACTACATGTTAAGATCCCAATTTAGTTTTGGAGTGATATTCTCCAATTTAGTTTAACATTATATATAATATAGAGTTGAATAAAGTTTATAGAGTTTTGAACATGTTTCATTCATATTTTTCCATTTATTTTTCTAATTTTGTACAAAATATTGATAATATCTTAAGAATAGTCTTCCTGATATAGATTAACAACTCAACACAAAATTTATGAATAATTACTTCTTATTGTTTCACTTAAATTGATAGCAAAAAAAATATAAAATATTTTAAGTGTTTTAACTCAATATCCAATAAAAACTTAATTTCCTTTGTCAATTTGAATCTACTATTAGTTCATATAAGCAATATTTGAAATTAATAATTTTCAAGTGTAATTAAGCAGTTTGTAATGCAATGATGTATTATAAAAATAGATATATTAATATACTGACTTTTATTTATAGCTTAGACAATCAAAACTGGCTTAGCGGCTCTTTCCCATAATCCAGCCCATTTTTCAGCGCCGGCTTCGATACTTCCTTTACGGATCTTCTCGATGTCGATTGTTTTCTCGATGAAGCAGGATCTGATAATATTTGCGAGTTCCTGTTCATCGTTGAAAAGAAGTCCGTCAACACCTTCATGAACGAGCTCATCAATGCAGCTGTATCTGACAGAGAGGAGAGGAAGACCAGCGCCAATCATGTCGAGTCCCTTCATCGGGAGATCGAAACCAGATGAGGATTTGTGGAGAGAAACACCAGCATCACAGGATCCTAAGAGTTCTGCGTACTGCTCGTATGGGAGGAATGGATAGCAGAAATCGATGTTCATGTAGTTGCGGCCTTTGACTTCTTGGATAAATGCGCGTTGATTTGGTCCTTTTCCGGAAATGATGAATGTGATGTTCTTCTTCTTTTCTCCAAGTTCTTTATCAAGGATTTCTGCTGTTCTGTTGATCATGTCTATGTCTTCATCTGGTGTCCATGATGTTGATGACATAATCCAAATTGAATTTTCTTCAAGATTAAGTTGCTTAGCGTATTTGGAACGTAATTCGCGTGTTGGCTTGAATAAATTGGATGGTTTGTCGTAAACAACAGCAGATTCGATTTTATGTTCTCGAAGATGTGCTTGTAATGCGTTTGTAACAGTAATATTGCCATCAGACCATCTTCCAGTGATATATTCAAGGAATTTAAGTACCTTCCAGCCTCTGGATTTGTTGCATTGAAGAATTGACCAGCCAAGATTATGCCAATCAATGACAAAGCGCTTTCCTTTGATAACACGAAGAAGCCAGCAGAATGGAAGAGTTGGAATTGTTGGTGGATTTTGTGCAAGAACGAGTTCGAAGCGAGGCAATGTAAAAATTAAAAGAAATAGTTGGAAGAAAAGCCATAAAATCTTAAGGGGTGCATATATTGGGAATAATATACGTGGAAGATTCCAAAATGGCTTGATAGGATGAATTACGACGTTTTTTGATTCTTGTAATTCTTTAAATAATGGTGATTCATTGTATCCTACAAGGTGAACTCTCGCATTTGGAAGTTTGGAAAGACAAACCGCGTGGTTTTGCATACGCGGACTTCTTCCAAGGTCGCCTAAAACAACTACGACGTATTCAGGCATTTTTTTGGATTTTTTTTTCACACTTTATGGGAAGTCTTTGTTTCAGAAATATGAATGTGATCTCTAGATTAAATTTATGTATGGAACTCATTCAACAGGAAATCGCAAGTTTATAGTGAAGGAATTCATTAGTAGTAGTATATGAAGGGTTGTGTGACTTTTTTTGTTACATCTATATATAGACGATGCATTAAAATATATTTATTTATAAACGCATTAAAAAAAATTAACATTAATTTTAAAATAATTTATTTTTTATCTTTTATAAAAGAAGCTATATATAGATGATGTCAGATATTCCGTGATTAATTAAACATTGTTTAAATCCTGAATGGGTCAAACTTCAATTTAAAAATGAAGATTGTGAATTATTAAATGAATATGAAAGCCAAAATAAGCTAATGAGGTATAAATATAATGATAAAGAATATTTAATTTCATGGAATCAATAGTAGTATATGTTGAAGGGTTGTGTGACTTTTTTTGTAAACGTAAGAATTCATACAATATTGAACGATTTTGTATCATTTTTTTTAACATATGAAGTAAAAAATGTATGATTCTTACGGTTTTTATTCTTACGTTTTTGAATAAATCAAGATTTAAAAAATTTTCAAAATTGTAAGACATTTAAAAAAAAAAAAAAAAGGTAGTGGGGCCTCCAGGCACTTCGTGCCCTCTAGCCCCGAAGATGTTTAGTATAAATGAAGTTTTTATTCGGAAAATTGTTAGTCTTCTGGTGTGAATTCGGAGGACTCTTCTTCTTCCTCCATTGCTTCTGGGAAGAAGCCTTCTTCTGGGTCGAAAACATTATATAATGTGTCGCTTTTCACAAATTATATATGTTTTCATGTTTTGTCACTTTTCTGTCACTTTTTGGGTAAAAACATTTTTATTATTATATATAAATGAATTTTACAAAACCACCGTTACCGTTCTTTGGAAATAAGAGTAGATGTAAAGATATTATATTGAGAGAACTTAAGAAACTACCGAATGGTCTAACATTTGTAGATTTGTTCGGTGGAAGTTTCTATATATCCCATTTGTGCCATACAATATTCCCAGACTCAAAGATTATATGCAATGACTTCGACAACTATATGGACCGTCTCAAACATATACCAGACACAAACAATATATTGAAAGCGTTAAAAGAAAAGATACCTATAGGTAAGATGGAACGTATACCATTAGATAAGAAAAATATTGTGAGAGAGGTTTTGAAAAAAGCAGAATATATAGACTGGGATAGTATATCTGCTAGACTATTATATAGTGGTGCTATAAGAGTTCATGACATTGAAACACTTATGTCAAAAGTTTTATATCTTAACTATACAAATGTTTTCAAAGAGGACATAGAAAAATATATTGAGGGTATAGAGTTTGTGAGATGTTATTGGACAGAGTTGTATGAAAAATATAAAGACAAGGAAAATGTTTTCTTTATAGTGGACCCGCCGTTCTATAACACATGGGATTTTCAATACCAAGTAGACTGGACTTTGAGAGACTCTTTAGAAACTTTAGACGTTATACATAACCATCCATGCTTTTACTTTACATCCGATAAAAGTGGTTTGGAAACCGTTATGAAATGGTTAGAGGACATACATGACTATGAGTTTAGATATGACAAGATAGAATATGAGAGAGGTCCTATAAACCGGAGAAAGTGTCATAACAAAGAAATTTTATTAGTAAGTAAATGTGGTTTGAAATAGGACTACTTGTTTTAGGTTTTTTCCATTGTGTCATTTATTTCTTTGACGTGGCAGAAAGATATAGAGAATATGAAGATGAACCAATGCCTGCAAATGTTCAGTATATGTACTCGTAAGAGATATTTTTATCTAATATTAAATGGACGCACAGAACTTAGCGAATGCACAGCAACCTGGACAACCAAACCCAGAGAATATTCCAAATGAAGTTAGAATACAAACTGCAATGGCAAACTATGGTCAAGTGCCAACAGATGTACAAATGCAAACTGCCATGTCAAATGTCGCTGCGTTGGGTTTGCCACCATGGTATGCAAATATGAGATGGAAAGAGTTTTATACAAACCCTGAAGTGGGATATAAACAACTTTATGCAGATGACGCGAACACAGGAGTTGACCCAGAATATGTTTTCTACCAGAGGAGAAACAGAATGTATGAGCTCCAGTTAAAGAATGCTATGGAACTCAACAGGAAACGTAAGAGACTAGGCGGACATTAGATTTTTACATATAGTAAAATGGGTTTCTTCAGTAAGATAGGAAACTTCTTTCGAAATGTTGGAAGAGGTATATGGAATGGAATAAAAACCGTAGGAAGAGGAATTTGGAACGGAGTCAAAAATATTGGTAAAAGAGTAGGTCAGTTTGTTGGTATTATACCTAAAGACCCTGAACCAGAAGAGCAAGCTCCTGTTATACAACAGCCTGAACCTGCACCACAGTCTAGTTGGCAACCAAATCCAACACCTCAACCGTATTAAAAAGTTATATTTTTACCGTTCGATAGTAGTTGTATATGAAACTAAGTTCTAAGTAAAACGCATGGTATAATGGAATTATTCTTTTTCTTCCATCTGTAGTAAACCATACTTGAAAGTCTGAAATACTTCCACTTGGTGGTTCGTATAACTTTGTAGTTTTTCGTAAAAGTCATTTGCCAAGCATAAGAAAGAGTTTTGGCGCCAGAAAATGAAGCATGAACAATAATAGCAGTTGGGTCGAAAACATTTTCATATGTTCCATTAGGGTTTTCGACTTCATAAAAGTCTGGGTGTACTGGATATGCTGCAGGCTGATTTAACATCCTCATAAATCTATACCATGCCAAGTTGTTATATTTTGTAGAAATATAAACGTTTTCTCCAAGGTCTTCTATTCTATTGATTTTAACAGTTGCATTTTTCCTGTCATAAATAATATCGAGATGGTATTCTCCTTCGTCAATGTTATACTGGTTTGCATATTCGATATAGATATCGTTTATTTTTTCTTGAAAAGCTTGAAGAGTTGTTTCTAAGTTTACAAGCAAACTAACTTGTAAAAGTTTTCCTTGTTCAAATTTCTCATACATACGTTTTTCTTTGTTATAGTATCGAACTTCAAAACCGACCGTAAATGGGAAACCATGTATGGCTTCTGAAATGAACTTCATTCTACGAAAGCCAATAGCTTTTGTGACAGATGGGTCTCTTAGCCATCTTAATGGGTAGTCAAAACGATAGCCTTCATGCTTTACGGTCTCTGTCTCAAACTTTTGACCGACATTAGTAAAAAGTTCATCTAATGGTTTAGTTGTAGCAACTCTTGAATTTTCTTTTTCTATTGGAAGCATATTTTATCTAGAATAAAAATGTCGAAAGATATTGCTTCCATGAGAGAAATACAACACAACCGACAACTCATTGTGCAAGCTCTAAATAAGAACACAACAAACTTTTCAAACTATTCTAAGATATCTGAGTCATTGAAAGAAGGAAACTTAAAACTGACATTAAACCCAATGACAGATGAGTTTCTATTTCAAGACAATAAGAACAATACTGTCTGTATAAATCCAACAAAAGGAACTTTAAACGAGAAACCTATAAATGAACTTCTTTTGAAAGCAGATGTTGACAACAAAGCTGACAAAGAATATGTAGACGATGCAATAGCAAAAGAAGAAGAAAGAGCTAACAATGCTTATGCAACAAAAGAACATACTCATCCTGAACTAGCAGACAAAACATATGTTGACAATAAAATGTCAAGTGAAGTGACAAGAGCTGAAAACGAATATTCTAAAAAGACTCATACACATTCTATATCTGAAATAACAGACTTAAACGTTAGCCTTGAAAAGAAAGCGGATAAGGAATATGTGGCTAGTAAGTTAGAGAAGAAAGCAGATAAGGAATATGTGGATGAAAAAGATAAAGAAATTATAGAAAGGGCTGAATGGTATCATGAATGGACATCGAAGATTTTAAAAACTAAAGCTGATACAGGATGGGTTTCAGGATGTTTAGACCTTAAAGCAGATAAAACTTATGTTAACGATGAGTTAGAGAAGAAAGCAAATAAGACTCATACACATACAAGTTTTACAACTTTTACAGCAGATGATATTACACTAAACACAACCTTGCCAAGTAAAGGTCCAACAATACCACCGGCAACAAGTCTTGTAGATACTTTGATATCTAATGACAATAGTATTATGCATCTAAGACAGGAACTCAATGTGCTTAAACAAATTTTGCCGAATCTTATTTACCCGGTTGGCTCATTATATGTTTCAATGAACTCTACCAGACCAGAAGTAGTACTTGGTTTTGGAACTTGGACTCAAATAGTCGACAGGTTTTTGTATTGTGCAAACTCTTCAAAGGAAACAGGTGGAAGTAAAACGATTTCAGGTGAAAATTTACCTGCACACAGTCACTACATAGATTTAAGTACATCTCAAGCAGGTTGGCATAAGCATAGATATTGGGATTGGTCAGCAATGACAAAAGGTAAAGGATATGATGTTAAAGACAACGTTAAGTTTGCTATAAATTGTTACTGGAGTAACACTGAGGGAGGAGGAAACCATACACATTTCGTTTCAGGATATACGCAAACAACCGGACAAAGTAAAGAATACATGCCACCTTACATGACAGTTTACGCATGGTATAGAATTGCTTAGTCGTCATTTTCAACTTCTTTAGCATATTCGTCAGGAGTTGTCTTATATTTGTTAGGAACTGTCTTTGAAAGTATACCACCTTGAACTTTGACAAGTTTGAAACGAGGTCTGACAATAGTAGTTTTATCTTCTGCTTGCAGTCTGTACATTTTGCCATGTTTGCCTAAAACTTCATAATATTCTCTTGTATACTTTCTTCTATTTTTACGAACACGAATGTGAGTACCTGTCGGGTTCCCATTGTTGTCATAGTCAATAGTATTTTCATATGGGTCGCGTTTAGGTATTTCTATTTTTACTTTGTCACCTTTCTGAAGTTTGAAGCCCGGCATTCTTTCTTGTTTGTCTCTTTTGACTAAATTATTAAATATATAGTCTTTCTCTAAGTCAGGGTTGTTTTTCATTTCTTCGGGGAGTGGTTTCCCAAACCTTTTTGTTTACGGTTATTGTAAATATTTAAAACCTGTCTCATCTTTGCCATGGAGAAGTGTCTATATTTGTCGTCATATGACATTTCATTTGCTTCACCACCTTGTGGTTGGTTTAAGTCTCTTAACATTTTTATACAACCGTCAATGACACCAAGAGCAGAATGGTTTTGGTCGACAATGAAATATTGGTTTACATTTTTTGAACGCAGATAGTTTTTTACATCATCTGATTTGAAAGAACTTTCACAGTCAGATGTCAGTTTTGTTGGATGGTATTTGTCAACGAATATTGTCAAAGCAGTTTTCACATCTAAAATATTTTTGGACCATAATGGTATGGCTTCACAGTATCTTGTGTTTTGACCAACAAATATTAACCAGTATGGAGGTCCATCTGTTCTAACTCTCGGAATGTTTTCCAAGATATCCATAAACCAAGCATTTGGTGTTGAACTAAAGATTTTTATCATGAGTGCTTTCTTTGTCGCTTTAGAAACATAGGGGTCCTTGTTCGGATTCGTCATTTTTTACCCTATAAGAAATGGGTTTATTTGGCGCATTAGCAGGAGTTGCATCCAGATTTTTGCCCGCAGTGGGAACAATAGCCAGAGGTGTATTTGGAGTTGGAAGGAAGATTTTGAGTACATTAGGTATACTGAAAGAGAAAGCACAACCTATTATACAAACTGTACAGAAAGGTTGGGATGTAGCACGAGATGCAACAAATCTTATTCCAAATCCTGAAACAAGAGGAAAAGTTCAAGGATGGATGGACAATGTAGGAAGACAAGCAGGAAACTATTATAACAAAGCAAATGACTACTATAACCAAGCAGGACACTATATGGACCAAGGTGAAAGATTCTTTAACAGAGGATATAACCATGCACAACAGTGGGTAAACAATAACCAACCGCAACCGCCTCAAACGTGGGGAATGTAAAGTTTTTTATTGAGATGAAATGAACAATGCAGCATTGAGACAAATGGGTTCAAGATGGATTTGTCGACTTCCAGCAGTTACACCACGTGTTTGTCAAGTTCTTCCTATACCTCAGGAAGTTTTAGACCGACTTAAAAAACCCAAACAACCAGTTGAAAACAAACCAAACTAAATTTTTTTACTGAGATGAAATGACCGAAGAAGTTGAAACGGTAGATTTGACACCACAAACAAAAAGTTCAGAACCATTGTCAAAACCTGTCAAAGAACTTACAGATGAAGAGAAAAATTCAATAATAGAAAGTGCCAGGTCTGGAAATACAAACCCTAACTATAAAGTCACTTTTCATAGAAATGGAACGGCTAGTATCTCAAAAAGAAACAGACTCTCACAAATAAAATATTGAAGTCTGAAGGAGCTTTCGAGACAACAGATGGAAAAGTTTACTTCACTGACCAACAGTTCATTATAGAACATCTCATTGACTTAGAGTCGAAATATTCTAAACTTTACAACAAACACAAAAAGTTGAAAGGAAAACAAAAACAAATGGCATATGATATTTATGAAGATGTTGACGACACAACTGTTCCTGCAAGTGAAGTAAAGTCAGAGAAACCGAAAAGTGACGAAAAACCGATAGAAGAAGAAAAACCAAAAACTGAAGATAAACCAAAACCAAAGTTTAGTTTGGAAACTAAACCAAGTCAACCTTCATTAGCTGGTATGGGTTGGCGTCAAAGACTTATGGCAGCAGGCGGTTATGTTAAGTAAAGAAAAAACATTTTTTTCTTTTTATAAAAATGCCCCCATATAGAATGGATAGAAAATCTGCTAGAATAAAAGCAGAGTTGCAAAGATATGGTTGGAGAGTTTCGAAGAAGTTTAAATATAGGAAGGGAAGACCCATAAAAGTCTATGACAAACTGGCTGGTCTGACCTACGAAATGGATTTGGAAACAGCACGTGCAAATTATCCAAACAGACTAGAGAGGTTAGAAGAAGAACGTCTTATGAACATGCCTTTCGATGTTAGTGAACCTCAAGTTGAAGGACACGACGGCTTTGCCAGATTCTACTGGAAACATGACGAACAATTGCATCCTTTGAGAAGGAAAAAAAGGAAAAGGTGAAGACACACATGCTCCCATGGAAAGAACAAGATATGCATATGAAAAGTATCGTGAAGTTAGAAGTCAAATTACATCTGGTCGAACCTTTACAGTAAACTTTGACGAAGGAAAGAACAAAGAAGGCTTCATGGGAGTACTTGCTGCCATACAAGACGGAAATAAGAAAGGACACGATCTCAGATTGACCATAACGGATTTGGATGGTCACATTTACTATGCAAATGGCAATGAACAAACAGCCGCAAAACTTCTTGACGCTTTCAAGACTACAAAGAGAGAACAAATGGTTGACTCCGACTCAGACATTTTGAATGCAATTGAAGGAATTGCAAGTGTCAAGTTCGAATGGTACCAACCTAACCCTCAAGCAGTCAGACAACATGCTGGATACTTTCCGTTCATAAATAAGTCTGACATTGACTTGACAAGGTATGGAATTTACAATTCAATTGAAACAATTGTCAATGAACCTTGCATTCTTACATGTCTCAGGAACTCTGGTCTTGTTACAGAAGAGAAGATGAAGTATCTTGAGTCATGTGTGAAGACAAGGTACATTCTCAGAGGTCAATTGGCAAAAATTGCACCGTTGGCAAATGTCAATATCCGAGTCAACATACCTACAGCTAAAGGTTCTTCACATGACGACTATGTTGTTGACAAAGACTTACCATGGTTGAAGATTGCAATTGTCCACAACCACTTCATGTTGAACGAAAGTCTTACAAACCCATTGTTCGGAAAAGGCAAGTGCAACATTGTCAGAGCTGTAAACATTCTTTTCGAGAAAGGTTTGTTGGAACCAATTCCAGATGACAAGCTGACAGAAACTTTTGTACCAAAAGACGAAACAAACTTTTCACTGTTAGCAAGACCAAAAGTTGTTCCAGACAAAGTTCTAGTACAAAAGAAGTACACAATTCCACAAGGAGTTGGATTGTTCGGATACCAACCTGAACCAGAAGAACTTCCAATGAGGTTGCAAGAACTTCAAGATGCTATAAACAAACTTCCATTGAGACATCCAATTGACGTCAAATTGTATTGGAGAGCATCTGAGTTAGGTCAGAAGGTTTTATATGAAACAGGTTGCTTCGACGATGTTTATGAGATAACAGGAGAAGTTTCTCAGAAGATAAGAGACTCACTTGAATTTCCACAAACTGGACCAATTGGTTGCGACAAGTTCGACTCAAACGAAAAGATATACTATGTCGACCTTAACGCTGCGTACATGAGGTTTGTCCAATATATTCCGACTGGAATTCCAAACGAAGATGGTGAGTTCCCGGGAAGGAACTATACAGTTGGAAAAGTCATACAACAACTGTATGATATTAGGAAAGCTTCAAACCCCAAACTTGCAATGACACTCAAATTGCTTATGAATTCGACATGGGGATATTCCATTAAGAAACCTCAAGAGATGAAGAGTAAACATTATGAGAAGGTCGACAACTTTGTTGAAAGGTTTTCTCCTTTTGTTTTGAAGTACGAATTCACTCAAGGTCAAAGTGGCTTAGTAACCACATTAAAACCTATTGTCGAACATTGGTCTTACCCTCAGTTCGCAAAGGCAGTCCTTGACAACTACAACAAATTCTTCTCCGAAGTCAAATCCAAAGTGAAGGTTTACTATGAGAACATTGACGCACTCATGACGAACGAAGAAGGGTACAACAAACTCATTGAAATGGGAATGGTCGGTGAAAAGATGGGCTGTTTTAAGCTAGATAAGGTATTTTCCGAAGTTCATGTCCTCTCCAAGCGTAAGTATTGGGGCATACTTGAAGACGGCACAGAAATAAAACATTGCATGAAGTAAAAAATTTATTTTTAAAAAGTGACATTTTTTAATTTTATTTGAAATGTACGCTGAGTTTGTTGGAGAAGACCGTTGGGAAACTTGTTTGTTAGATGAGAAATATGAAATGGCATACCATTTTAAAACAATATATTTTTACATATATTAAATGCTTCAGGTTGAAAAACAAAGAACAAAAGTAGCAGATACAAAACCGTTAGACTATATCTTTACAAATGCTGGTAGGACTATTTCAGATGAAGAAATTTCATCCCGAGTATACAGGTTTGACTATCCAATTCGTTGGCTTCAAAGTCCTTCAGATGCAAAGGCAATAGGATTTAGAAGAGTTTTGTTTTCAAATAGAACTAACGCATTTATGTTCGCAGTATATTTTCATGGGCAGTATAAAGGTTCTGATGGTCTAATAGACAAATTCGACGAAATGAGAATCTTTACAGTTCGTTCAGACGAAAGTCTTGAGAAAACTCTAAATGACTTTCAAACTCAAATGAACAAATATTATTGGGAATTTCAAGAAAAATACGACTCTTTACTAAATGGAACATACTATCTGAAACTAGAATATGACAAGATGAACTCCACCGTTTCATTTCAAAAGATTGAAATTAACCCTCCAAGAGATACAGAGTTTTTATTTTGGAAAGTAGACAAACGTTCTTGGGCACAATTTCTTCGGTTACTAAACCAGAACGAACCATTACCACCAGATGGTCCATTTCAATTTATACTTCCACCAGCAGATTTGACAGTTTATAGAAACGTGTTTGACCCTCAAAATGTTATGTGTCATGCAAGTTTCAGTTCAAGCAACAATAGTTTTCTATGTATTGGTAAGGACTTTTATGACTTTGCTTCTAAATTCTACGAACCACCTAGTAACAGTTTCTCTGACTTTCAAGTTTGGTTCACAACAAATGGTGTGCAACATATTATTCCATTGTACTATGACTTTTATCTCGAATTGTCTTTCATATATAACTACGGAAAAGTGCTGAAAAAGTATTGAATGTGAAGATATTAGAAAATAACATTTTTTCTAACATCGTAGAAAACTCATGAAAACAATTTATTTTAAAACTTTCACAAAAAACATAAAAAAGTGAAGTTAAACGTTAAGGTTTACTGAACTGGTTGGATGTCGCCTTCACAGGTTATGTAGAATGGCTGACCCGAGAAGCGAAGGAGACCCTTGAGAATTTGTATAATTCGTGGAATTGGACTCTCTCTGTTTGGAAGTAGTATCCAAGGACGTTTGTTTAGGAACTTAACAAGAGCTTCTCTTTTGGCGTCCTTTATGTCGTCGAAAGGAGTGTTTTCTGGTATTTGAATTGGAATTCCAGTCGAAGTCTCGAGATTCAAGGCAGCCCTTCCAGAAATAGTGGTGAACTTGACCTTGGGCTTCATGACCTTGCGCAAGTAGTCTTTTACGCAGTTGTTAATTTAAATTAGGTAAATTGCCTCGTCAAATCCTTCTGGCATTCCGAGTCCTTCCATCCGACAGAAAAAGTTTTTCCTTCCGACAGAAAAAGTTTTTCCTTCCGACAGAAAAAATTTTTCCTTCCGACAGGAAAAAATTTTCTAGTTGTCCGTCCGTAAACCATTCAAATTTTCGAAAATTGAGAACTTTTTGGTCGAACTTCAGAAAAAGTTTTTCCTTCCGACAGAAAAAGTTTTTCCTTCCGACAGAAAAAGTTTTTCCTTCCGACAGGAAAAGTTTTTCCTTCCGACAGGAAAGGTTTTTCCTTCCGACAGGACACAAACAGATGACTGACGTTCCACTAACCGAGTCCATTCCCAAACCAGAGGAACCTAAAGAACCACAACAGTCTCCTCAGCAACCTCAGTTCCAGCAAGTACCTCCGAATTTCTACCAATTTCCACCTCAAGGTTACTACCCACCACAAGGCTTCCCGAACTACCCTCCTCAGCCTATGCCTTACTGCCCCAACCCTTGGATGTTCCAGCAAGCTCCACCCCAGCAATTCCAATCTCAATCCAAATCGAAGAGAGACCAAGAGTTCGAAGAAGGTCTGAACCGCTTACACAAAGAGTACGCTACAGCCCCTATTGAGAGAAAGTTGTTCCCGGACCAAAAAATATATTTTAGGGTAGAAGGTTAGATCTAACCTCTTTTCTCACCTCTTTTCTACCCTCTTGAATTTGTCATGACTTCTTCGTAAATGTTTTGTCAAGACTTCTTCGTAAATGTTTTGTCAAGACTTCTTCGTAAATGTTTTGTCAAGACTTCTTCGTAATGAGTGTAAAGGACCCAAAAATAATGTTTAGGTGAAGAGGTGAGATCTCACCTGTTTTTTCACCTCTTTTTTCACCTCTTGAATTTGTCATGAATTTCCTTAAGATAGAAAAAATAAAGTTAGTTTTATTTTATTTATTTTGTATGTAAGATATGATTTCAGGGATTTTTTTGACGAAGTGCAAACGTTCACTTCGTCAAAAAATAACAGTTATCTAATGAAAAAGTGTCATTTTTTTGTATTTTTTTGTATGTAAGATATGATTTCAGGGATTTTTTTGACGAAGTGCAAACCTTCACTTCGTCAAAAAATAACAGTTATCTAATGAAAAAGTATCATTTTTTTGTATTTGACGAGAATGTCGGGTAGATGGTTAGATCTAACACGTTTTCTAACACGTTTTTTCACCTCTTGAATTTTCATGACTTCTTCGTAAATGTTTTGTCAAGACTTCTTCGTAAATGTTTTTTCACCTCTTTTTTCACCTCTTGAATTTTCATGACTTCTTCGTAAATGTTTTGTCAAGACTTCTTCGTAATGAGTGTAAAGGACCCAAAAATATAATTTAGGGTAGATGGTGAGATCTCACCTGTTTTTTCACCTCTTTTCTAACACGTTTTCTAACCTCTTGAATTTTCATGACTTCTTCGTAAATGTTTTGTCAAGACTTCTTCGTAATGAGTGTAAAGGACCCAAAAATAATGTTTAGGTGAAGAGGTGAGATCTCACCTGTTTTTTCACCTCTTTTTTCACCTCTTGAATTTTCATGAATTTTCCCGAAATAAAAAATAAAGTTAGTTTTATTTTTTTATTTTTTTTTATTTTGTATAAAAGATATGATTTCAACAATAGGTTCTACAACACTTCAAACAACAGCACCAAACTCGTTAGTCATGAATCCAACATCTATGTTAGTAGAGATGAAAAGCTTCATTCCTTCTTCATATACTTTCGAAACAGAAATCCAGAAGATAAAGCAAGAACTTTTAACATGTAATTTAGACTGTAGTGCGAAAGATGAAACAAATGAACAGTATCTTTATGAAATGCAGGACATTATTGACCATTTGCCTAAACTACCTGAAATTCAGCAGCAAAAGCTCACTATTCCTGAATTCGATGAAATAGAAGTCAAAGCAACTGACTCAGTAGAAATAAAGAAGTTCATACGAAAGGTAAACTATGAGTTTCTAGGATTTCATTGCAACCATAAGGTTATGGACAAAGATTGCGACATGGTATATAAGAATGTTTCTGACATATATAAATCTGAAAAATTTAAGACCTACGACAACTTTGTTTCGTTAGTTGCTGAATGTGTTTGGGAAATAAGAGATAAAGATAGAAGAGGCAAAGTATGGAATAAACAGATAAAACCAGCAACTTTTGAGATGAAGAAAACCATTGACGCTTTAGTTGTTCTAGCAGGTAAGGTTTCAGAATATAACGCAAAAATGAACCCGCAATGTTCTAAATGTAAAGCGGCAATTAGGAAATATAACTACTCCGTCAAAGAGATAGAAAGAATGAGAAACGACTATGCAGACTTAAAGAAAGAAGCAGAGAAGCCGGTAGAAAATAAAATGGACATGTTAGAATTTCTGAACAAAAACTATCCAACTGCTGACGATTTCCTTCTATCTGACGTCAAGAAGAAGTATAAAGAGACTTTCGGCATAGTTAAAACATTCGATATCCTCAGCGAAGAAATAGAAGCTACAAAACTGTTTAGGATTTCAAATATACATCGTACAATTCATGTAAAACGCTTGTGAAAAAAGAGGTGAAAAAACAGGTGAGATCTCACCTCTTCACCTAAACATTATTTTTGCTGAAAAATGACCAAAAATCATGAATTTTCCCGAAATAAAAAATAAAGTTAGTTTTATTTTTATTTATTTTTTTATTTTGTATGTAAGAACAGATATGTCAAACAATGAGTTTGAAACAGTTAAAAAGATAGACAATGACACCAAATTGGTTAGAATAGGTGATTTAAACGTAAGATACTCAAAGAAATACAACAAATATTCTTTGTCAGACATTTTATCTCCATCTGGAAAGAAAACACACGACTGGGTTAGAAATGCTTCAACTCAGAAAATTTTGACAAGAAATCCTGAGCTTATGATATCGGTAAGATTCTATGGAACAAGAGCATATCTTATAGACAAAAGTCTTATACCAATAGTTTTGTTATGGTTAGACCCAGTTGTTGGATATAACTTCATAACATATGGTTCATTCGATACGGAACGTTGCAGTGAAGGCTTACTTTACATCTTCAGAAACCGAAGGACTTCAACAACAAAAAGATATAAGATAGGAAGAACATATAATATAACTCTAAGATATGACAGTACAGTCAATATAGTCAAGGTTGTGTTTGCTAATGATATGAGAGCTGCAGAAACAGAACTACTCGAAAAGTTTGAGAAAATGTATGGTGCTCCATAAAAGGTAAAGAAACGTTGAAGTAGATGAGATAGATAAAGCTATAAAATTATATTGACGAAGTTGCCTGAAAAATACATGTAAAGCGTTTATTTTTGGTCTTTTGTGAAAGATAGAAAATAACGCTAATTTTTTATAAAATTTGACGAAGTGCAAACCTTCACTTCGTGTCATAATGTAAAAATAACGCTAATTTTTTATAAAATTTGACGAAGTGCAAACCTTCACTTCGTGTCATAATGTAAAAATAACGCTAATTTTTTATAAAATTTGACGAAGTGCAAACCTTCACTTCGTGTCATAATGTAAAAATAACGTTTTACCATGTAAAACGCTTTGAAAAAAAAACAGGTGAAAAAACAGGTGAGAAAACAGGCATGAGATCTAACCTTCTACCCTAAAATATATTTTTGCTGAATTCAGCACAAAAATCTGAGTAAAATGGCATTAAGATTGCTTCCCTCGAAAACCGAGAGAAGAGATTCCGTATGAAAACAGTGAAGAACAGCGAGTAGGTAAGAAACCTTAGTCGCCAAAACTCTATGAAAACAGTGAAGCACAGCGAGACCGACTTCTTTCGGGGTCGCCTAAAACTCATGAAAATCGTAAAAATTTGCCAAACGGTTTGAGAGGATATTATGTACAATACTTACATTCAAAGAAGACTTACCGCTACTGAAAGAAAAAATAACAGAGTATTTTGACAACTTCAAACAAGTAGGGTAGATGAACTCTTTATTTTTCAAGCTTGACTTTTTACAATTTGAACTTTTTTGCGTAGATATGAATTCTGAAAGAAGTATGAGGGTCTTGTATGACTTTGTACTTCTCCCATAGTTCATGTCTGTCAAACTTACCTGCCATGGACTCTTTCATAAGTTCCATGAAATCGTCTTCGGACAATCCGGGGAAAAGTATAATGTCAGTATATATTCTCTTTACATCCTTACTTAAACTCTTGGCTGTCTGTACACATATTACGACTGAGATGTTAAAGTGCCTAAGTTTCTTAAGAATTCGACACATGTCTTGTTCTCTGTTCTTTAACAAAGGATGAGAGGCGAAATCATCTAAGATAAGAAGACATCTATGGGGTAAGTCTTCCAATCGTAAGATTGCAATTTCTCGAAATGTATTCTATCTCTTTCTGTTTGTTTCTGAAGTGTTTCTTCTCTAATATCTCTGCATTTCCTCATTTGGTCTTTAAACTTAGAATTTATATACTCATTTATAGCATTATACTTCAAAACTCTTCTTTGTACTTCTTTATCCAATCTAACAACTCAGTATCCTTTATACATACTAACTTAGACTTCTTTATAATATCTTTGAACGAATTGACGGTTTGGTCAAATTGACCAGAAGTACTACAAATGACTACTAACTCATAGAATGGGTTCTTCTCATCTAGTTCTTGTTGTTGTGCAGCCATTTTAAGATAAGTGAAAGTCTTACCCGACCCAGGTGGTGCAATTAGACCTGTATATACCATTCTGAGCAAATAAGAACTTGTCATGTATAGGCTTTATCTGAGCATTTTCTAACTTCCTCTTGTTCTTGTTTAAAACATTCTCAAATTTCTTGTTCAATGTCAGCAAACTTTTTTTCTAACATATTTTAGAAAAATTAAAATTTTTATCTTTTAGAAAATGTCTAGCGATTTCGCTATCTATATTCGAGACAAACTTTTGACAGCAAAACATCTGTCGACCATAAAATCTTACATAGTGTAAACAAGAAAGGTGAATTTGTTCTAAAGTTCTGTTTCTGGGAATATGACAAGAACCATAAAACATTAAGCAGAGCAGTCTTAAAATTTGTCAATGACAGACTTGTTGACAGAGATGACGCCGATTGGAAAGATGAAGTCCAACAAAAGTTCTTAGAATGCAAAGAAGACACATGCGCTGTTCTTGAAGATGAAATAGAAAACAGAATAGAAGAGCTATTAAAGGACAAAGAACTTTTACAGAAATATGGTTCGGAGAAATTTGACATATCTCCACCAGAAAAAGAAGAAGAGAGAAAAGAAAGAAAAGAAAGTAGAAGAAGAGAAAAAGAACCTGAACCAGTTCCAGAGAAAAAGAAATTTGACATGTAAAAAAAAATTTTATTTTTAGAACATTTCTGGGTCAATGTCAATGTTCTCTTCCTCTTTAGGAGTAAACACTGGCTTAGACTCTAAAATCTTTTTACCCAATTTACCTTGAACTTCAACTATCTTAGACTCATAATATTCATAGTCGTCTGCTTTCTTTGGTTCATAAGGTATAACAAGTTTGTATGCTTTGCCTTCTTTTAAGGTTTGAGAACCTTCTGTCAAAACTTTCTTTGACTGCTAACAAACCTTCTATGTCTAAGTCTTCAAATTTCGCACCATTTTTAGTCACAATAGCAAACTTAACTGGTTCGATGTTCCAAACTTTGCTGAATGAAGACTTTTCAAAATGGTAGAAGTAAACATTCAAATATGTGAATGGGTCTAGTTCTTCTTTAAGTCCTGACATGTACTTGTTTACTGAGATGAATTTTGCCATCTTTTTCTATCGGATAAAAAAATATTTTTTTTTAAAATTTACTCATAAAAATTTTTCTTTGTATATACACCATTCTGTACGTCTAAAAGACTTTTGACATTTGCCAAGAATGTTCGTTTAGACGCTGTCATATAACCATATTCTTGACAATATTGTTTATACGAATCGTACAATAACCTTTCATCTAATGACACAAAGTCAGTTTCATCTATGAACAGTTCATATACACTCTTGTTTGCTTCTAACAATGTTTGTCTCTCTTCGGTATGTGGAATTTGTCTTGGATAACTTTGAAATATCTAATGTCATAAAATATGAGAACAAGTGGTTGTAAAAGTCAGATGTCAAGTTTCTGCTAAGTCGTCAAAATATTCTGTATCTTGCATATGAGAATCTGACGTTCTGACAACTACATATCTTCTGTCAGAACTTTCTAACTTCATCGGAACAGCATTGTTTGAAACCATAATGAAGTTTGCAACATTTTCACAACTCTTTGGTCTTTATACTTTCTTTCAACAACTCCAACTTTGTCTGTTATAAGACTCTTCAAAGCATCTGAGTTCAAAACTTTTGTTGTATCTATACTTTGAAGTTCATTGCAAACTATAAGTTTCATATTCTCTATTGAGGAGTTAAACTTGCCACAGATGTTTTCTAAGTTTGTCATATTCGGGTTCGAATAGCCTCTAACAGTTTGCATAATATCTGTAAAGAATGTGTTCTTACCAGTTCCTTGTTTTCCAATTATAATGAGAGCAGTTTCATTTTAGCACTTGGATGTTGTAAGATGTTTGCAAACCAACATAAGATATACTCATAGACTCTTTCGTTTCCATTGCATATAATTTCTTTGACATGGTCTAACCAAGCTTCTATAATATTTTCTTTCCATTCTACTTGTTCATATTTATATCCAGTGAAGATAGAATAGAAGTTTGGAGAAGGTGTATAGAACTTTATACCTCGAACTGAAAAATCTTCTAACTTTGACAATAAGATATCCCAAGCATCTACATCTTCATGCCAACTTGTACGACTTTTATTTTCTTAAGTTTCTGTCTACATTCTTGTTCTGAACTATTGTCGCTTTAGGTTTGTTAAAGACTACATCCCATTCTTTCATAACATAACATTCTGGGGCAGAGTCGACATAAATGACTAAACGTTTCAAATTCTCGACTGCTTTGTTATAGTCTCGAAATGGACACATATTTCTGAATGCTTGGAAGTCATAAAAATCTGAAACATCTATTCTGTACATTTTTATAAAAATAAAAAAAAATATTTTTTTTATTCTTGACTTTGTTGTTGCATTTGTTGCATTTGTTGTTCTTGAGCTATTTGTTGTTGAAGTTGTTCTTGTAATACAATACTTTCACCAGTTGCATCTTCCAATTCGAACTTTCTGCCGTCATTGACAAATACATAGGACATAAAAGTTTTACAGGAACAAAGTTTGCGTCAACTAATGTCAACGTTATACTTGCCAAAGTGTTTGAGTTCACTAAGGTTGAAAATTCTGCATTCGAATGAACAATAGGCAAACCAGCAGAGAAAGTATTGTTTATACGCATAAGTATCTTTTGGTCATAATAGTTTCTGTCGACATTCGAATAACACTTTGAACCTAAGTTTGAAACAATATATAAGATTGGTGTGCTTAAGTCAATGGAATAGACATTCCTTGTATGACACCTTTTCCTGTTATAGGAAACTGTTGGTAGTAAAAACCAGAAATAAGTTTTGTATTATAGCTCATATCGTTTATAGTAAACTCAGTCGGACATCCAAACATAATGAAACCTGCTCTAGTTGCAGCACATGTTACACCCGTCCTTAAAGTATTAAATAAGTCAACAAAACCTGTTGGTGGTATATCTGAGTAAGTATCTTCAAAGGAGTATTTTTTACCATTCACAACAATAAAGTTCTTCTGGTGTCAAAAGAGCAAAACAGGCTTTAGTCGTCATTGTGTTTAAGGTTAGTTTACAATATCGTCCTTGAGGACTTTGTAAGTTTGTTGTTATAGAATTATATGACTCAGGGTTTTTAGTCGTAATAGTATAAACCATTATGTCTTCTGCCATTTATATATATTTAAAGTTTTTCTGAAAGTGGAGAAGAACTTCATCTAAACTTTCACATGGCGTTTCTTGAAGTTCTCTGTCTAAGAAGTTCAAATATTTTGTAAAGACATAGAACTTTCCTTTGTCTACACGAACAAACAAAACAGGGTCTTTCATATCGTTCAAAAGTGTGTAAAGTCCTTTACATGAAATAAAGTCTATATTATTTTTCTTCAAACATCTTTCAAGAAGTTTTGACATTTTTACTTAGCAAATAAACTTTAATGAAATGTTGTGGTCGTCAAATATTTTTATAACGTCTGGGAAACTATACTTTAAGTTCAACGTTTCACCTCCTTTCATAACGTATATCTTGTCAATGACATTATATGAAACACCACAGCAACTAATGTCGGGTTCTATTTCTTTGATGTTTATATCGTCTGCCTCTGTCAAAAGTTTCAATAGTTCTTTCAAAACTTCATGAGGTGCAATGACATATGAGTTCACTTTTACAGGGTTGTGTTCGACCAAGTTTAACATTATACTTAAAGCTTGACAAATCTTCTCCTGAGTTTGAAGTTTGTCTTTCAGTTGTTGGTAGTCATTTCGAATATCTGCAACAGAACTTAAGTCTCTGCTAACTTCAGGATATGTTGGTTGTTCTTTTACAGGAACAATTGTTATACCATCTTCGTCTTCGTATGGTTTCCCCACTTCAACATCTCTGTCTTTGACATTGACAACAACACTTTGACTGTTTGTTTGAGTTGGTGAATTTAACTTCACATCTGCCACCGCCATTAAACCTTTTGAAACACTTACGCTTCTATTTTTCGGAAATGACATTTTACTTAGAATAAAAAGATGGACGTATTCGGATATCTTTATTGAATTGAAGCAGAACAAAGTTTATACTCACAAACAATACAAATACATTGACAGAATAGTTCTTTACACAAACAATGGAAAATGTTATAGAATAGCAATATTTGCTGAACCAAAATATTTTCATAAAGCAAAGAAAGTTGGTATAACTGAAATGGTGAAAGTTCTTGAAGCAGACAAAAATATAACTTCAAAACTTACAGATATTACTAAAGGTAAGTTTATCTTACAATATTATGTCAAAACTGGCGTATTGTTTGCATGACTCTTTCCTGAGTTTCCGGTTCAAATATATGTTTTTGTAGCCATTCTGGTTTTCTTTCCATGTTACCAATAATATCTTTTGTGAATGGGAAAGCTTTTACCCAACGTTTCAGTCTTGCGTCATTTATTTCTGTAGTTGGTTTTATTTTGTCATGGAACATGTTTTTCAATACTAACATTTCATTTGGTACTGTCCATTTGAGTTTTCTTAAATATTCATCCCTTCTCAGTTCATTGTCTGCAAAGTAAGTTTTTATGACATTTTGCAAACTTTTTTGCAAGGTCATGTACAATAGGTTCTCTTCCTTCTCTTCTCCCTAACTTTCTTTCTAAACTCTTCACCAAATATACCATCTCTATGGTTCTGTGTAGTTCTTTGAGATAAATGTTCTAGAACGTCAGGTGTTATATTTCCATCAGCCATGTTCATTTCATACTGGTCCAAAATATCTGCATCTTTCATATCTTTCAATGGCATTAAAGCCGCGCTGAAAATACCAGCTATATCTGGTTCACCATTCACTTCCATTGCGTCTACAACTTCTTGGAATTGAGGTTGTAAGTTTATGAACCACCTATCCGGATTAGCTTTATGACCCCATCTCATTGTAGTTCCATAGTCTGCAGAAACAAAAGTAGGTTTGTTTCCATATTGGCTAGGTTCTGAATGAACTTTAAACAATGTTTCATTTCTATATGTTTTGGTGAAATTTAACCTTTTATTTTCACCGAGTTCAGCCAAAGATTGAACGTTATATGGTCGTAAGTAAAAAGGATTGTTGTATTTGCGTACATTTTCTTTCAGTACTTCCATTCTATGCTGAATATTTTCATCTGATGTTGGAGTCTTTTGTATGTCGGCGAACATTTTTCGATATTCTTCTACTATGTCAGCCGAATTTTTCTTAGACTCTTGGAAAGATTCCATATTCCCCGCATACACTTGTTGAGGGTCAAGATTTTTCGGCTGTTCCAAATCTTCATCTAGTTCTGTGAAGTTAGTTTCCAAAGGAGGGACTTGTTCGTTTCCTTCAGGCTCTTCTAGCTGTTGTTGCTGAACTATTTCTTCCATGTCTGGTTGTATCTGAACTTCTTCCTGTGGAGTTTCTTGTACCTCATCTGCTGGCATTTCATATATTCCGAGACCGTTTTTAACAAGTTCCCTATCTAAGTCATCCGGACTCATAAACCTTTCTTCTTTCGTTCCGTCTCTATTTTTTACGCGTTTCATGAAGAGAGTTGAATTATCATTTAGCTCTGACACCAAATATCTCGGAGTAAATTCAGTCATGTCATTTGGATGATATGCTATTAAATCATATCCCTTAGCGAGCTTGTATTTTCCAGGTTTGAAATTATATCCCATTTGGTGCTGAACCATAAAGCTAAATAGGTTCGGGTCAGTATTTCCTTCCTTGAACTTTCTAATAGCTTCTTTATATCTGTCACTAAAGTCAAGAGTATCTGGGTAACCATAGTCTTCCTTAAGCATTTTTAAGAATTCTTGGTTTCCTTGTTCTCTACTTCTTTTATGTCCTTGCTCTGTTTGTGGTTGTTGTGGTGCAGTGTTTTGAACTTTTGGTTGTGGTGCAGTGTTTTGAACTGTTGGTTGTGGTGCAGTGTTTTGAACTGTTGGTTGTTGTGTTGGTTTTGGTGCATGCCTGTGTCTGTGTCCATGTGACGATGTAAATGTTTTAGGTAGTCCTGGTGCAGGTGCTTCTCTTGGAGGGTTTGGTGGTATATAAGTTCCACTAGCTAGTATATAAGTTCCACCAGCTGGTATATAAGTTCCACCAGCTGGCACATATGTTCCATCTGCAGCATAATGTCCTACCTGACTTTTCGTTTTTAAGAAAGCATTTACTAGGTCTGTTTTGGTCTGTTGTAACTCTTTTTCTTGACTTTCCACAACAGTTGCTCTAACGGCGTCATAGGCACTTTGAACTGCCTGTCTCGTTGCTGCATCTGTTATTTTCGTCATATTTTGTGCTACTTCTCTTAACTCTTTGTCGAAACCTTCAGACTTCAGTTTCTTTCCAGATGAGAAGTCGTTCACTAGTTTCACCTTACTATGAAGAGCTTCGAAGGCGTTCTTAAAGTCAGCATTCATTAAAGCTTCATTTGAACTGTCTTCATCCGCTTGTATTTTTGTCCTTATTGACCCTATAAGTTGGGCTGCTTTAGCGTTGGCTTAGGCATCTAACCAGTCATTATTAGCTTTTATATATTCTGCGCTTTTCATTGCCTTTTGCATGGCTGCGTCGTTATTTTTACTTTCTTGTGCTAAGTTTTCATACTGTACGGTTTGGTTTTGCAACTGTAAAAGTTTTTCTGCCTTTACATTTGCTTCAACTTCTTTTTTATACTCATCGCTATCCATATATGTCTTCAGGGCTTTTGTTTTATTTCTTCATCTTCAGTACTTTATATTGAGTAGTATGGTTTTTCAAATTTATAACATCTTGTTCCATTTTTTGCTACTTCTGCTGCTTTTCCTGACACTTTTTTCGCATATTCCTCTGTACTTAGTTCTTTCAGTTGTTCTTCTTTCTTCTTTTTCTCTACGTTTAACTCATTGAGTTTCTTTGTGTGTCTGTCATATTCTAGTTTCTTTTCGTTTTCACTTATTTGTTTCTGTATGTCTATGTTTGACTTTTTGACATCTGTTATTTGATTTTTGAGTGAACTCAAATTCATTTGACTTTGAGGGTTATAAGCTGTTCCGTCTGCAGCTCCACCATAGCCTGCCATTTTCGCTAAAAGTGCCGCTCTTAAACCTCCACTCTGTGCACCAATAACTCGGTTTAAAAGCATAGGGTTGCTTGACATTTGTTGCAACATAGTGGGGTCATTCATCATTTGTTGTTGCAACTGTTGTTGTGGTGTCAGTTTTACTATTGGATGTTTCAATGCTCTCTTCCTCTTACGTATATTCTTACGTAGCTTACGTGGCATTTTAAGTGAAGTTAAAAAGCAGTTTTTGACAGATGTTTATATGACACTTTTTGTTCAGCACAAAAACCACTCGGTCAAAGTGTTGTCAGTTTTGTAAAATAACCGTCCTATCTTGTTTTAAAATGGAGAAAAGGCTTCTCAAAGTATACTTCCTTGGAACGCCCGTAACTTTTCCTGTAGCGACGATAGACCCTTACTTGTCCGGACAAAGTTATACTAAACATCTTCAGGGCTAGAGGGCACGAAGTGCCTGGAGGCCCCACTACCTTTTTTTTTTCATTTACACTCAGCCCATACATAATGAAATAAAAAATAATTTTTTTAAAAAAATAAACCATTAAAAAATTAACATTAATTTTAAAATAATTTATCTTTTATCTTTTATAAAAGAAGCTATATATAGATGATGTCAGATATTCCGCGATTAATTAAACATTGTTTAAATCCTGAATGGGTTAAACTTCAATTTAAAAATGAAGATTGTGAATTATTAAATGAATATGAAAGCCAAAATAAGCTAATGAGGTATAAATATAATGATAAAGAATATTTAATTTCATGGAATCAATGGAGTCATAATCAAAGACCTCATAAACGAGAAGAAGAAATTGAAAATAATGAAATGGAAATCATTGATGACATTAAAGAGGATGGAATTCCTAAATTTTGTAGAAAAACCTTTAGAACTAAGTTAGGAGCATATAAACGTAGAGTATTAAATCCTGAATATCTTAAACATTTATTTAAAAAGGAAGACTGTGAATTATTAAACGCTAATGAATATGAAAATGCTAAATCAAAACTGAGATATAAATATATTGGAAGTGATGAAAGGTGTAAAGATAAAGATAAAGTTTATTCAGTTTCATATAATAACTGGCACACGTTAGGATAAGAAAACATTTAGGAGATTATGGGAAATGTTCTGAATTCTTTAAATCTAGTATATACGAGAGAGTAAAAGAAATTAGAAATAATTATTTTCATGAATAAAAGATTCACTACCATAATGAAATAAAAAAAAATAAACTTTAAAAATTCATGTCTTACATTTATGAAAATTTATTTTTATTTTGTATGAAACCGATTTTAAAAATTTATGAATAATTTATAAAAAGTTTTTATTCCTACAATTCCTATATTACCATTAATAAAAAGAATATATTTTATAATAGTTTCATTTCGAACATGTTAAAATTTATCTGCATTTCGAAAAATTTTATTATAAATGATAATATAATTTATTAAATTAATATATAACTTATGAATTTTTACTTTTTGTATGAAATAAAATTTAGTATTAATAAAGGGCAAACCCAAATTTTAGCTAAAAGTGACAGGGGAAAAAACGTTTAGTATTAAAAAAAGACCGATGAGAGCTTCGTTCGAAATATAGAGGGAACTGAGAATGCGCAACCATTCTCAGGGAATATTGGATGCTATTCCCGTTCCCTCTGTATGGAAAATTGAGGTTTTCAAAGGGAGTTAAAATAATATCAAATTTATACTAATTTACTTCAAAATACAAAAGTATTTGACAGCTAAAATTAGTTACTTTAGCAAGCCTATCAATACCCTTTTACGATTATTGCTACTTTTTCGAAATAAAAGTAAAAACAAATTTATACTAATTTACTTCAAAATACAAAAGTATTTGACAGCTAAAATTAGTTACTTTAGCAAGCCTATCAATACCCTTTTACGATTATTGCTACTTTTTCGAAATAAAATAAATTTATTATCAAAAACCTTTTTTTCTTAGTAAAAATAAACGAAATTTTTTACCTTATGAACTTTTGATGGAAATATGCAAATTTAAAATAATAAAGAAAGCCGCGAGCGAAGCGATCGGCTTAGTTCGAAGATTTTGATTCAAATCTTTGCTGATCTGTAATTCGCGGAAGCCGCGAGCGAATCGAGCGGCTTAGTTCGAAGATTTTGATTCAAATCTTTGCTGATCTGTAATTCGCGGAAGCCACGAGCGAATCGAGCGGCTTAGGTCTAAGATTTTGATTCAAATCTTTGCTTATATTCCTTAAATTCTTTATGAAACTCGCAACAGTTCCATAAAACATTTTAAATTCTAAACTGTCGAAATTACCGATCGGTAATCACACCCTTCGCGGGTGTGTCACTTTTTACGGGTGTGTCACTTTTAGCTAAAATTACCCCTACTCGTTTATACTGGCAGAACTTCTACTGTTTCACTCAAAATTGAATACTTTAGCAGAACTTCTACTGGTAGAGTTTATACTGGCAGAACTTCTACTGGCAGAACTTCTACTGGCAGAACTTCTACTGGCAGAGTTTATACTGGCAGAGTTTATACTGGCAGAACTTCTACTAGTAAAGTTTCTACTGGTAGAACTTCTACTGGCAGAATTTCTACTGGTAGAACTTCTACGGTTATATATTGGTGTCAATTTTTTAAAAAATTTTGAATTCAATGAGTTATATCAAAAATAAAATTCTTGAATAGAGTAAAAAAATTTAAATAATTTATTTAAATATTTTCTTCTGACATTTTTGAATAATTTATTTTTTTAATTCGTAAGAAAATGAGTGGATCAAGATTCGTAACCGTCAATCAATTAATGGATGCTCTTTCACCAATTCTTGAAAATGTTAAACAAGTAGATGTTTATTTCGATGATTATGTAGAAAGTTTATTATAAAGGTAAACATAATATTAAACCCATTGCTTTTGCATTTGATAATAAATTAATTGAAAATGCAAAAATTTGGGAATTAATTCCAGATATTGAATATATAACGAATATAACTAATAAATGGTTCAAACGAATTCCAACCACAAAAGTTCTTTGTAAATTAATGATCAAAACCGAGGCCAAAGAATTTCATGAATTTTACATATCATCCAAATAAAGTTTCAGAACTAGAAAATGAAAACTTCAGAAAAAATTAAACGATAGACTTTCAAATGATCGTATTGAAAAAATAAATAAACTAGCAGAAGTTGCATTTAATAATGAAATATTTGATGAATATAACCTTGAACTCAGTGATGGGCTTTAAGGACCCGGGCTCAACGAGTCATGATTTATGAAATCAATAATTTGATTTATTCGCTCTTCAATAATTTCTATTCTTTTTGTTAAATCATCTATTTTCATTAATGAGGTGATTCTTGATTGAGGAATAGATTTCAAACTAACCACTCCTTTTATTTTTGAAATTTTGAATCCATCAACTTTAAACATTTTATTCAATTTACACGTTGTCAATTCTTCAAATAATTTTTTTATTAGCATAATAGTCATTAAATTCTTCAACAGATGAAAAAATTTTTATTTCAGTAATTGGTTTAACAACGTTTATTTTTTGTTGAACATTTTCACTTTCATTTATTTCTTCCTCCTCTGTTTCATTTATTTTTAAAATTGGTTTCATTTATCATTAAATAAAAATTAGAATATAAGTGATGAAATATATTTTTTAATTAATATTAAATCAGAAATGGCGGCAGGATTCTTTAAAAAATTATGGGAGGAATTAAGAAAGCTGCGGGTTGGGTTCATCAAAAGATTATTAAACCCGTTGCAAACTTTTTGGCACCAGTAGCGAAAACGGCAGGAACTATCATAGTGGGAGTATTAGGTACTAAAGCAGGTAATCCGGCGATGGGAGCACAAGCAGGTAACGCAATTGGTGGAATAGCTGAAGGAATACTTAATAAAATAGGGGGTAGATAGTGGAAAAAT